AGAGAGAGAGAGAGAGAGAGAGAGAGAGAGAGAGAGAGAGAGAGATAGACTGGTCTGAGCAAGCAGAATGTTTCCATATATCACAGTTGAATTCTTGAAATTGAACAGGTTTGATGTCCAAGGCTGACCAAGTTTATCACATTCACAACTGCTTACATCACGAATCAGGAATGGAGGAATCTTTGACTTTGGCACACTGGAAACTGATAGGAAAACCAACACCACCTTTTTATAGGGAGCTAGACTAGATGTGAAGGATCTCCCCAATAAATTATTACCACACCCTCATTTGTAATCTAGTTGTCAATCAATGTCCCAGACATGTCTTGTAAAAGGATGTGGGATAATGAGGAAAATCGTGTTTTCTGCTGTGGGGATAGATGGATGGCGTTTCATTCATACCCAAGACACATTCGTTTGGAAGCCAGTCTGAGTGGGGAGAAGGGCATGATGGAGAAGAGGTGACACCAGTCACATACCTGCTTCTCAGCGTGCAATACTGTGTACCTCACAGCTGCTCTGGCACTGGCCAAGGTGAGAGAAATGAAATCAGAACTATATTTTTGCAGGTGTTCTTATTTTTGCAGCCCGTAACTCATCATGGTAGAATGCAGCGATGTTGGCTCTTTGCCAAACCACCAATGCCCCGACCTGCTTGCTCCTTTTGCCCAGAGATCATGTCCGAGAATTATGCTTTCTACAGTGACGCCGTTTACACTCGTCCCTTATCTACGAAAGGCAGGGCAAGAACAGAAATGTCCATGTGGCTCTCGTGTACTTTTAAATTATACAATGATACCCAATATTAAAGGATGATCGGGAACAGAGGTTTACATACATTTTTGTGGTGACATTTAGGATGTCAATAAATCTGTGTTTTGAAATGTTAAGAGGAAGAAGGTGGGAGGTGCTGTTATTTATTTCTTTCTGTTCCTGGAACCATGAATGAGGTAGGCACCAATACATTCCCTTTAGACTTAAGAACAATGAGGTAGTTCATTAGTGGGACTAGACATAGAACTGAGTTATTTTATATGTTGGGCAAGTGTGATGGAACAGGAGACATAGTATCTTTGTGTTGCAGCCTCAGCCAACAATGATGTGTTGTAAAAATGTCTTTCATGTAAAAAGTGCAGTAAATATTTACTATTTATAATGAATAAACAGTTAATGAAAATGTGCCAACATCGCTTTTTTGGGGGGGGAAACTGGTGATTGTAGAATGAACGAGAAAGGGCCAAGGGGGATACAATGAAGCAATCATCCTGCTGTTCCCTTGGACATGGGACTGTGACATGGACAGAAGAGTTACATATAAACACAAGATGCTGGCTTAAACATACTCTGCAGGACTAAATCATTGATTTTACAATGTCAGGGATATGGAATCTAGAAGCCCCCCCACCCCCCGCCCCACCTGTCCACCATTTTTGGTTCTCTCCAAGGTGTCAGATCCCTTTGGTATCATTTGGAAGTGTGTCCCCCAGTGCACCAGGCTCTCTCTTCATCCCCTAATTCCTCTGCATTGTACATTCCATTGGAAAGATGTTTGGCAGCTCCTTTCAGCCTTGGAAGGAAATGGCACCACCTACTTCCTTCCTTGTTTTCCTTTCCTTCCCCTTCCTCAGCATTTCCCTCCTCTCCTCCCGTCCTCACTCCATCCCACACTTATTTCATGACAGTCTAGGTTTGTCAGCCATAACAACACTAGACACTGGTGTTGTGACGGCACAGAGTGATGAGGCAGAGGTGTGAGTGTGTTGTCTCAATACATCCTGACAATTGTTACTATGAGGGGATGAATTTACAATGTCCATGGATGCTCTTGTATTAAATTAGTCCCCCTAATGTCTCATGTGATGTCATTTCATGTGTGCAACAGGCATATATGGCCAGAAATTGCTGTATTGGGTACCACTGCTGTAGAACATTCTGGAAATTCATTGCAGAGAGAGAGAGTTCTGTGGGTCAGTTGACCTAAAGCATATAGAATTTTAAGCATCCCAAAGATTTGATATACAGTGGGTAAAAATGTTCAAATTAAAAAAAAATTCCTATTCTCTTTTTAGCTTCCACTTGTCCTTCTGATCCACCATGTTGCTCTTTTTCTGACAATTATCTTTTTAAAAAATAATGCAGTCATAGGAAAGGATGATAATTGTCATGGACTGCTTAACTTTTATCAGTTCCCATGGAGATTCTGTGAGGTGGATGGCATTAGCTCTACTTTACAGGCGAGTGGACCCATGCCCACAGTTGTTAAGTAGTTGGGCCAGTACCACATGTAAGAACAGCAGACACAGAGTGTCTACCAAACATCGTGGTAGAAGCTACCTAAATTTACTTCTCCAAATGCTGACTCACATACCTACTTCATTATGTCAACCTACTCTTGTGCCAAACCTAAGTTGAAAACAGGCATAAAAAAAAAAAAAAAAAAAAGTAATTCATTCTCCAATGCATAAGTGATGTGCCACCAGGACCTCGATTTCACAACAGAAGCTGCTCTTCCCAGAGGCCTCTCTTGTCTGTCTCCAGACCTCAGGACCTGCCATGTGTGGCCCAGCCCTCTTTGGGATATATGTCTTTATGCCCCTCTCTTATTTCTGTATGTCTTCGAAGCTATTGCTCTGTTGGCAGTTCTCATGTTCAAAGTCGCTATAGATCTTTCTTCCCCTGATTTTTTGCTTTCATCTAATCAGTCTCGAGGAAAAGGAACACCTGACTTCTCCCCTGGCCTGGGGTCCCTAATCTCATCTTCTGGGACAAGCCACCGAGAGGGCTTTGAACCTTTGACATTTAACCAAGCTTGACTTGCTTATTTGTGACGTGCCCTCTTGATCATATCACCATCCGCATGTATTTGAAGGGTTATAAGTGAAAAGTATAAATCAGAATTAAAGATTGTCAGATTGTCATTCTGTGGTCAGCTCAATGAGTCATTCATAAGCAGCTTCACTAGGAATAGGCATCATATTTCACAAATATATCATTCCTCTAATGAACTCATTCTGGAGGTGTATTTAAACACACACACACACACACACACACACACACACACCAATATTTAAGCACAATTGAAAGGGATGCTTATTTATTCTGGCACACAGAAACACTATTATGGACAAGGCCACTGGTTCACAGCTGTGAGTATAGAAGTGGAGGGGAGGATGGGTGAGTGAGTGATCTGTGTGGATAAGGCATGGAAGAATCTGTTCTCACATTGCCTCAGTTAGAGTCAAAATTAGTACATAGAACCAGAAACAGGGTTTCTACAGGAGGAGACTGACTCTGGGGATAAAGAATTGGGCCTCAGTTATTCTGAGTGAGTTCTTTTGGTGTTTAGCCATTCACACACAATTAAGCAGAGCTAGTTCCAAACAAGAAAAAGCACTAGTACCAGGGGGCAGAGTTTACCACGGACTCTAGTCACAGACAAACATTGATGGACATGAAAGTTAGCATTGGATGAGAAGTATGAGGAAGAGACAGGGTTTGTCTGGGATTTCCCACTGAACAGTGATGATCTAAGCCACACTTACCTTTTCCATAAAGCCCTCTCAGTATTATTGATCACTGCATTCCAGAAGCTCAGCGCCAAGTCTCACCTACAACAGGTACCCCAAACCCACTTGTTGAATGAATGAGTCAATAATGAAGAGTGACTCTCTTCTTCAGTCTCCACGTGATCTCTAGACAAGGGGGCATTTGCCTCCTGCAGCACCAAAGGCTCAAGGATGGATTGGTACAAGGACCAAGGGAAGAAGTGGGAGACAGGGTGCTTAATGAGCCAGTAAATACCCTATTACAGTATTTCTGATGGACATTGAGGGTCCTAGGAGGGAATTTGTTGCATTTACCATCGGGAAGTTTAGAACTTAAGTGGTTCTATTCAGACCTGGTGGTATAGTAATCTGTGGAATTGAAAGATAGATTGACAGACAGACAGATAAACACACACACAAAGAGAGAGAGAGAGAGAGAGAGAGAGAGAGAGAGAGAGAGAGAGAGAGAGAGAGAGATTGACAGACAGACACACAGAGAGGGGGGGGGTCCTTAGGCCCATCTTGGACCACAGTGAAGCCTCGAAGCCTCTCCCATATCTGATCAGGCACATTCACCCTGGCACACCTGATCCAGGAAAGTCACTTTGGAATATGGAGACACGTGAGTCTTCCCTTCCCCACTGGACCCTCATCCCCGTTTCTCCTCTTAAGCCAGAGAGCAGGATCTGGAGATTCAAATGGTCCAGCGATGATGCCTGAGAAGAGCGGTAGAGTTGGATGACTGACAGAGCCAATCTCTTTGGTGCTGTGCTCTCACGCCTCAGCCTTTTTGGCAAGAGGCTTGCAAAGTTTGTTCATGAGACCTGAGTCCTGCTTAGCTTCTTCCCCATGAGGTGGGGGGGCATCTTGTTCACCACGTTCTTGTGACCCCATGGTATTCTGGAGAGCTCTGAGCACACAGTTATCCTGTTCATCTGGCTCCCCAACCCCATGTAGCCCAGGCAGGACTCATGGAGTACCTGAGCCTCAGAAAGGGTCCTGCCCGTGCTGGATCATTTTACTATTTGAGTGCTATGAGAGACAAACAGTGATTTCTATTTCCCAATTATTGATCAATACATCGTATATTTATTGAGCTCCTAGGTGATGTTGGGAGGTCGGGCTTCAATATAAACAAGGCAGTTCCTGTTGTCAGAAGACTCCAGGATAGAATGAGCCAGGTCGGTAAAAACACTTGGGACACAAAGTAATACATAAGCAATAGCTTATTTGGGGACCCAACGAGACGCTAAAACTCCACCAGACACTGGAATGCCTTTCAGAGGAACTGTTCTTGAGGCTGGATCTCTAAGAGTAAATCAGAAATGACTTGGGCAGGTAC